GTTAAGTGATGAGTTTGATGAAAACCTAGGAGAGTGTATAAACCCTGACAAAAATGCAGGCAAAGCAATTGATTTAGTCACAGAAAAGGGAGCTCTTAGGTACAGTGATCCCTCGGTTAACGAGCGCCTTGGTTAACGAATTGCCTTCCATAAGATTCTTCACCTCAGTTAACGAGCAAACCCTCGGTTAACGAATTCCTTACGAATTTTCCCAACATGTTTTCGCTTGCATTTGGCTGCCCACCACCTGTAGTATTAGTCCGCCAATACAGTAATTGGTTCTAGGGCTTAAATTCCTTACCATTTTAGTAAATATCAAGAAGGTTGTACTATTCAATAATATTAAAAGTTTTATATTAAATTTTTTAGTCATTTTAACAATTATTGAACATAATTGAAGTACAGGAAACTAGTTTTTTGTGCGCCAAACAGCCACTCAACACACCAAGCTTGGCGTCAGTTTGTTTACCAGTTCAGAGGAAGGAACATCTTGTTTGAGACTCTTCAACATAAATGCTTCTTTTCTGTTTCCAGTCAAATTATTGGTCATTTTGAAATATATTTTACATATTGATAATATATAGCGCAGTGCAGTGTTGATTTAAAGAAAATATTCTTGAATTACACCAAGTAAACTAAAATTTTATGGGTGAAATGGCGGCATGGGGTGACTTCTCTTCCACCCCAATGCCTTCTCTTCTCCCTTCTCCTCCACCCCCATTCTAATTCCCATTATCATCATCATCAACCAGGAGCCTTCTACATACACACCTCAAAGTAAGTGTACTTTACTGCATTTATTTTTAGTTTGTATGTAATTTTCAGTGAGCTGGAACTAATTACCCAAAAACCCATTGAAACAATGGTTTTGGTTAACGAGCAACCTTCTTGAACGAATTGTGCTGGTTAACCGAGGGACCACTGTACACTCACGTGCCATAGTTTCAATGCACCCTCTAGCCCTACTAGTGGCTCGAGGGAAGTTGTAGTCAGGGCTGCAAACCGAACGGTCCGTCTTGTAATGTTAAGTATAGTGATGGCAAATAAAGTGTTGTGAAGACACTAAAAAAACCTGTATAGTGCATATATTCTCTCAAGTATTATATGAACTGCTATTCGTACAATCCAGCGAAGCTTTGAGCTACCACATTGCACCACTGAATGATTTGTGGGGGGAATTGAGAGTGGGAGGAGATGTTCGGTATGAAGCCAAGGCTACGACTTCCATCAAGTCAGCAGTAGGGGTAGAGGGTGCATTGAAACTATGGCGCGTGAGTGTACGTTGGTGGCTATATTGTAAGGTTTTGCGTGAAATATCCTCACTTAGGCCAGAAAGTCAATGAGTGCACATTCATGACCAAAACATGGACAGAAGAAATAAACAGGTGAACTGTATGTTCCATCTGACACTCTATTTTCTCAATTAACCATTATGACAGACGTATTTAAGGCTGTACATGCAGGGGACAGTTTTAAGGAGTGGAAAGATTTTCAAACAATTGTGTCTGGGAAAGAGAGTGTTGGAGTTGATGTAACCCATGATGTTTTATCCTTCTTTGCCAAAATATTTGTTCTTTAGAATTCGGAAACTGAACAGTAGTACAGTGGTCCCTCGGTTAACGAACAAATTCGTTCCAGAAGGTCGTTCGTTAACCAAAAATTTCATTAACCGAAACCATTGTTTCAATGGGTTTTTTGGGTAATTGGTTCCAGCTCACCGAAAATTACATAAAGTAAAAAAAAAAATACAGTAAAGTACACTTACTTTGAGGTGTGTATGTAGAAGGCTCCTTGTTGATGATGATGATGATGGGAATTAGAAGTAGGGGTGGAGGAGAAGGGAGAAGAGAAATCACCCCATGCATCATGCTGCCATTTCACCCATAAAATTTGAAGTTCACTAGGTGTAATTCAAAATTTTCTTCTTTAAATCAACACTGCACTGCATTATATATTGTCAATATGTAAAATAAATTTCAGAATGACCAATAATTGTACTGTAAAAACGTAAAAATAGTTTATGTTCAAGAGAGTCTCAAGCAAGATGCTTCCTCCACTGAGCAGACACAAACTGAGTCAAGTGGCTGTTTGGCGCGCTAAAAACTAGTTCCCTGTACTTCAATTATGTTGAATAATTGTTAAAATTACTAAAAAATTAATATAAGACTTGGAAAATTATTGAATAGTACAACCTTCTTGATATTTACTCAAATGGTAACGAATTTAAGCCCTAGAACCGATTACTGCATTGGCGGACTAATACCCCAGCTGGTGAGCAGGTGAAAACATGTCGACACGATTTCGTAAGGATTTCGTTAACCGAGTTGAAGATTCTTATGGAAGGTAATTCGTTAACCGAGGGATCACTGAATTAGGATAAATAAGAAAAAAGAGTAAGGGTTGCAGAAGTGAAAATAGGAAATTTATGAAAATATCAAAATGATAGTAGGAAAAACAGATTGCCTTGGGTTACAGTTTATGTAAATCATATGTTATTTATTTATAACCTATGTGTAAATAAAATATAAGTTATCATGAAATATTTATTCCCCTTTTAGATGCACACACACTAATACGGAAACATTTCAGAGGAGGCAGTTATGAACTCAAGTGCACAGGTAAATTGCACTGAAGTAAGGGTATGAATTTCAGGTAGTAAAGGGACGAAAGTGGCCAGACCCTTTATGACGCCCATTTAGGAAATGGGGTTATGATGATGATGATGATACTGTAAAGATAGACAGACTAGTGGAGAGAGGGAGCGGGTCAGCCAGCTATGGTTCAGGTGACGTCACTGTGCAGAGGGAGCGTAAACTAGATCGCTGTCCGTCTGACCTGTCTACATTGACCTTGGCCAAACGCAACGAAAACAGCAACAAAGTTCTCTAGGCGAGGTTCGCCATAGATTTCGTTACTACATTTGAGGCCTTGCAGGATTGTGCTGTAGTTCTTCAATTGCTGAAGCAAGTGAGGCATCTGCAAAGTTAAAGAAAAGACAATGGGTGTGTTGTGAAGTTTCCTTAAAAGTGGCAGCTACTGGCTAGTCAAAGAAGACCCTGAAAAATGATTTAATAACACTAAAGAAGTTTTAGTGATGAATAAATAGAAACATGTCACCGTTTATGTGTTATATATTTCAAATTATCATTGTTTCATTATTTATTTAAATTTTTACTTGAAATTATATGAAGCACATTTGAGCACTAATCCGGCCAGCAAAGATCCCCGCCAAACCGTTGTCCATTTCTAGCAACAGCCGAAATCCTGCTACTGTACTTGCTGGGTGTTCAGGCCAATAGCCAGCAAACCGGGCAACATGTTTGGAGGAACGTGCCCAGTGTGCCACTGCCTTAGTACTGTTTGGGGCCAGAGCCAGGGTTTTCAGCGCCCGAGGCAAGCCCTTAGATGTGTGCCCCCTAGTAAGTTTTAGTATACTAAAGTAGGTACTCCGTTACTATTTATATTGTTTTTGTAACTCAAAAAACCACTGATTAAATGTAAAAATTTGTCTTGTGGCTTTATTACGGTAAATATGGCACATTTAAGGTGATAACCCTCATCATAAGAGTTAATTCAGGGTAGGTGTAGACCCACATTGGAATTAAGGAGTTTTGTAGTGTTGAATGTGCAGTCCTTTATCTGTAACTCCACTGAGTATTTTGTCAGCTATTGTTTGATTTTTCCGACACATGACATGCCATAGCACCAGACAACCGCCTCACCATCCATACCTCCTCCCACCTCATGCCCTTCATTTTATAAGGCTTCAACGTATTCATTTCAGCGCAGAAACCCTGTACAATATTTCAAATGACATAGCCATCATTTTATTTTTCAAAATTTTTACTCAAATGTTCTATTTGGCGTTAGGAAGTTATTTTTCATGTTTAAAATGTATCATCTTTTGTAAAATCTCAAAATTCCATAGCATGGAGGGTCCTCCTTACAGACTACATCCTTCTTTTTCAAAGTTTTAAACCAATGGTTCCAAAACACGTGGTTACGTTCGCAGGACACATCATAAAGGGTTGCATAGTGGTCATGGGGTCGCATAGAGCTCATGACATCGCTGGAATCACCACAGGCAAACGCAGTGACTCAGGGTCATACCAGATAGGTGACAGCTCTAAATAGGGTCGCAGTGGAAAATTCTTGGAAACCCCTGCTTTAACCCGTAAGCCCCAGGTTAGTGTGCAGCTGGCAGTACCCCACACCCAGGGGTAAATGGAGAAAAATCAACTTTTCCAAAAATAATTCTAAACCATTTTAAATGATAAAACAATAAAAAATAAGTAAGAAAAACTATATATTGACCCTCTAGAAACTTCCCTGGCTGCACAGAGGGAGGGAGGAGAGTGGGAGATAAGGAGAAAGTGTTGGTTGACAGCTGACGCTCGTGGTCCTTACACACTTAGCAGCTAATTTTAGCTCGCCTTTGTGTCCAAGGTGACCAATAATACATATATTTACTGATCTTAATAATTTTTTGCTATAAATAGTTTATTTAGAATATTTCATTTACATTATTTTTCATATAAAAGTGCTCAGCAACACTCACCAGTCGGTCGTCAGTCTGCCTGTCTATCTGTCTTTGTGTTTGGTAGAGCAAGTAATGCATAAAATATTAATTCCACAAATAAATACATTTATAAAATAATCATAGCATTATTTTACAGTAATACTACACTACTTTTAGCAATATTACTTTGATACAACATGATAAAATAGACAAACAATGAAAATGAAACAAACAAAAGTAGGCAATTTTGTTCAGGAAGTTTGCCTGTGGCCGAGGTGTGGCATGACAGGCAAGTAGTCACACTGGAACCTGATAACCCGCGCTGGGCATTTAAACAGTGGCAGGAATAGGCGGACGTTCTGGAACGTCACCCGGGGCCAAAGGGTTAAACACAGGGACCAGCTCTGTATCCTTGGAACTGATTAGTTGATGGGTTCACTACATCCCTACACTTGTAGAGTTCAGGTTATATAAAATTGTCTGCACAGCAGCATTTTTATTATAAACAGAGAAAATGTAAACTTCCTACATGACGGAGTACTCCAGTTTTGTGCTGATAGTCAGCTCAAATATGAAATATAGTACAATTTTCTTCCTTTTGTAAATCATAACATAGGCACAAAAAATTTTGTTGAATGAACTAAAAAAAAATATGACCAACCAGTTTAACTTCAATGGTTAACTAAGATCTGGCTGTTAAAATCCATTTAAATGATAAGATGAGTACTGTATTAATGTGCACCGAAGAAAATATATACGGTATATGATAGCAGACCTACTGTAGTCTTTTATCATTACTGATGGTACATCTGTTCTCAATTTTAATATATTCTTACTTAAAAATATTCAACAAAATAATACAATACAGTATTATAAAATCCAAGGACAATTATCAAAATACAGGGACATCAAGGACAGTTTACTTATCTATCATGTTAAGTTACTGCTAAGTTATAGTTTATTTTCCAAACAAAATTATCAAATATGTACTATACAGTATATGTGTTAATGTACATAAACTGACAAATTTAGGCAAGTTTTGAAAACACTAGAATATAAAATAAGCCTATAAAAAGTTTTAATATAAACTATCATTGACCTTACATATGATTTAATCAACAGACATAGCATCATCATCATCCTTATCTTGATCCTTATCTTTATCTGCATTTTTCTTTTCTTCTTCCTTTTTACTACTTTCTTCTTTGTCCTTCTTCTTGCCTAGTGCCTGAAATAGTTGAGAAAAAAATTATATACAGAAATAAAAGCCTGAGTCTGACATTCTTTTACAGGTAGAATGTGATAATTATTAAAATTTAGACATTACACAAACCATATTAACAGTACTGTACAATACAATTGTTTATCTTATGTCGTACAGTATATAATATACATACAGTACATGGTTGTGCCATCTCAGTATTGTCTTATTAACATGGCTTAAAAAAATTCTTCACCTTTCACCTATATCTGCTTCATTCTTTTTCCTTTAAATTCTCTTAATTTCTATTATGTTGCATCATAAGAATACTGCCAAGAAATGCAACAAACCTTTATAAAAGCTTCCATATCACATGAGGAAGCAGCCAAAACTGCATCTTCACCAAGACCAAATTGATTGATGAGAGGACCTAACTGCCCTGACTGAAGGGCACTGCTGAACAAACTCACTGCCTGTAAATATCAGAGAAGCTTTATTACATTATCACATAATATTTAAATGATATTGCATGGTCCATGGGGATGAACATACTGCTATTGTGAAAGTGGAACATTACAACAGAACATGTCTATTATAGCAACTGGAATGAAATAATTAAAATTAATGAGAGAATTTGAGTTACTCACATGAGTGAAGAAGAAATAAGTAGTGACTAATTTTTGGCAAAGATTTTACAAAGTACAGTACTGTACCATCCTGCACTCAATGAAAGATATATCTTCCACAAAAGGAAGTGTATGGATGGATCAAGCGTGCAGTACCATATGAAAACAAATACACTATTGATCAAGAATAAATTATTCAAATATATTTTGCGATAAAGATATAATTAACTATCATTAAACATGGGGCTTTGAAACTTTCTAAAGGGTTCGGCTTTGGATTTTCTTCAAGAGGGTTGTGTATTTATCATCATATTATATCATAAAATAATCAATGTATGAATTAAATTTTTTTTTCCATCATAACTCTGCCTGTATTTCTTCTTTGTGCCAAACTCTTTTCCTAAGGACTGCATCTCCAATTTACAGTATGCGGTATAATGTTAGTCAATGAGAAAATGAGGTTCATGCTACGGTCAACTTTTTAAGGACGCACCCTTATGTAATTCAGGGTCACACCTTACTTTAATCATTTTCATCCCCTGCATACTGTAATATTGTTACCACAAGCAGTAATAAGTAGGATAACCCTCAAACAAATATTATGTTAGGTTGTAAGTCAAGTCATGTTTCATTGGCCAATGGCCATGCCTGTCCGTATATAGAGTATCTAGTCAGTGGAGATATAGAGAGAGGGAGAAGGATGGTGTTTGTGTGGTAGTAGGGAGGAGTTGTTTGGGTATAATAAACCTGACACAGCAGAATACGTCAGCCCAGGCAGGGCCTGATACGACACACTAACACTCCTGCTCTTCCTATCACAGGGTGAATACCCAACCCATTTGGTTTGAGGCCTTCAACACATAAGTTCAACCTACACTCGAGTTTACACAGGTAAACTGCGTCCATTGTATCGCTTATCATTGTGACAGCATGGGAATATGGCAAATTAAGTACTCATTATAGATGTTATGATTAGACTAATTACACAGCTAAGATAGCTATGATTGTTATGTTAATATGTAGTGGATTAAACATTTATGTATGATTACCTACATATGATGTATTATTTAAAATACTATGAAGGAATTGTATTCAACAGGTTTGACCGAATTATAATGTTCGAGTTTAACATGCCGGGTCTTATCCCATAATCGCCCTAAAGGCGATTACAATATTATCCCCATATAATTCTCTCAAGCATATAATTTGTCACTTCTAGTTCCCTTCCACCTCTTGCATTCAGAGTCCATGTTCTCACATCCATACAGTAAAGTCAGCTAAACGATTTCACTAAACACTCATATCTCTGCCTGTTTTGACAAAGTTCCTTTTCATTATACAATTACAATAACATTACAAAAAAAAAAAGATGTCTTCAATTATAATTTACTGAAGATGCAAGACATGCTGTACAAAGAAACACAATACCTGCTGAAACTGGGGTGAGGTGACGGTTCCTCGAAGTTGTTCAGTGGGTGGCAGCTCATCAGATGTTGCAGGCAGGTAAGGACGAAGCTGATTCACAAACTCTTCATTCGTCAAGATAGGTTGAAGAGCTTCTGCAGTCATAGCTGGACTTAGATCCACTTGTAGGAGAAACATTGGTGAAACATATATCAAATTATGGTTCAGCAATGTTAACATCAGTAATGAGATTAAGGATGCAGCAATATAAATGCTACCTTGGTAATGTTAATTTGAATGAATACATGGTATATATAAAGGATTTATTATTATTGTCACTTGTGAGAGGATAAGTTTGAGAGAATTTTACATATATCACTACATAATGTTTTCCATTGTTTCCTCACCCAAAACAACTTCCTTTCAAAATTAAAAGCATTCTTCTCACAACTTAAAATCCTCTCTTCTGTCAGCTTCTCCCTCAAAATATGACCTCTTTTGGTCACATGAGCCTAAAACATAGTTCAAGTGCCTTGTGCCTTTTCATTTTGCTTCCTTCGTTCTACTTTGCCACTTTTGTGAACCTGCTAGGTAACCCTAATGATTTCAGCATTGTACACCACAAAATTTCACTGTCCAATAAATAGACTCCTTTAATAATTAAATAACCACATTTGAGAATATGAAAAACTTCTTCGGTAGATATGATGAAATATTTACTCTGGGGGAGATAACTAATTACCAGCTCAGGACATCTCTGAACAAAAAGACTAGTTATATGCATATGATGTACGATGTATACAGTAGAACGTCGATATAACACGAGATACATTCCAAGAGAGGTCGCTTTAAACCGAATTCGCACTAAATCGAAGTGTTGTTTCAATGGAATAATTTAGTTTGGTAATTGAGAGAAACACAAAATACTAAAAAGATTGAGTCTACCCAGATGCACCTCAGCCCATCTAGAATAAACAAAACCTTTTTTTGTAGTACAATATTATGTTAAAACAAACACTCATAAATCAACACAGCTAAAATTATGGGAAGTGAAATGGTCTGTTTACTAAAGTTTTCTCATATAAAATGTCACTGAACTAGCATGAGAGAATATAATTAACATTGCTGAAATTCTTTTAAGATAGTGATTAATTTGAATATAAACATGCTATAGTTCACATTAGACATACAAATTTTAGTTCTAATTAGGAACTTATTACAAACGGCTAAAAATTTTATCTCGTGCAAAATATATGACATTTATATTCAAATTATTCGCTGTCTTGCAAGGATTCTAGCAATGCAAATTATATTATGCTAACTTTAGTTTGTGATATTATATAAGAGAAAACTTAAAGCCTATAACCACCAAACCCTGGCTGGGAAGGGGGCAGGCGGAAGAGAAGGAAGGGGAGGTGACATGTTTGACAGTTTGAATTGAATTGAAACAGTTTATTTAGCCAGAAAAACACAGATACAGAGTGGATAACAATATTAACATGGCTGAGCCAGTTGAGAACCTGAGCTCTGTTTTAGGCACCTGATATATACTATACATTTATCTCAAGGAAGTATTATGTAACATTTAGTAACATCTGGAATAGTACAATAACATGGTGGTAATAAGAACATCTCATAATGTTTCCACAGTTGTGCCAAAGGTCTAGCGAAGTATTTACTACAGTATTTGTTTATGTCCTTTTGATAGAGTTTTTGTTTATAAAATGTCACAGAAGTGACCGGGGAGAATATAATTTACATTGCTGGAATTCTTATAAGATAGTGATTAATTTCAATATAAACATGCTATAGTCTGCACAAGACAAAAATTTTAGTAATCATTTAGTACATAATTTTGAGTACATGTACATTACAGCTTTGCCCTTAGGACAGTGTAGCGTGCCCAGAGAAACATTAGGCGCAAAATCTGAAAATATGATGCACCAGATTGACTCGCGCAAAATAGGAAAGATTCGCTTTAAATCAAAACATTGTCCTTAATTGTGGGTGTCGCTTTAAATCAATAATCTTAAATTGAATCGCTTTAAATCGACGTTCTACTGTATAATGCACACAAATGTTTGTTACCTGCAACCCTAGGAGAACCAGATACATCCTCTAGCACAGAGATCCCAGAGAGGATGTTCTGTAGATCAGACAACTGAATGGGTACAACACTGCCACTTGCAGGAGTGGCACTGTTGCTCTCTCGGCTATTATTGCCACCTCTAGCAGAATCTGAAAAATTACAAATTAAAATGCGTGTATGACAGCCAAAGGAAAGTTTTTTGTTATTTTTTCCTCTTACAAGTCCTCTCCAACTACAATTGCAGGTTGGTTGGAACGAAGCACAAATACAGGCTCCCTTTATTTAATGCCATTTATTCACTCTTACCATTGTATGGATGTCATCTGCTATGGTGTTCCCCTTGGACAAGATATCAATCACATTTTTTCCCATTAGCATGTTTTCATAAAATCAGTTTTTTTCCCATCAGAGTTAACATTTCGGTTATTAGTAATAACTGACCCACTGCTGAATTTTCAGAGAAAACTATTTTAAAAACATCGCAATTTCACGATGTTTGTAGTGGGCACTGTCGTAGTTTTGGCAAACGTGTTAAAAAGTGGTAATTTTTTAATTAAACCGAAACGAACATTACCTTAGTTGATAAGAAATACAAGCGGCAGAAATGTTGTTAGGCTACCCACAAATAGTTACTTACCATTCCTCTTCTTTTTAGTTTATAACAATAGTAAATTCTAGTGATGATACAGTACACCTGCTATTTCATGGGTTTCTCCCAAGAGAGCTACTAATACTGTATAAGCTTGAATAGGTAGGATGAGGAGCCAATTACACACAGAGGACTGTAGGAGTGGGGAATGACTGGCTGGCAATTAGCCAAGGAGTTTTGCTACAGTGAAGGTGGTCTGATATTGCATTGTGGAGACATGGTGTGATTTGTAGGATGTGGGAACAAGGACCTGTCAGGGTGTTTGGGGAGTTTTATGTAAAATTAGAGTGCCTTAAAGATTGGTAGTAGCATAGATAAATGTGGAAAACTAAAAGCCTAGTAAAGATATGCAAACAAGGTATCTGAAAGAGTGTGAAGGCGTTATATGGGGTAAGGAATGGACCTGAATAATTGTGAAGCCCTGGTAGAGAATGGAAGTGGCCATGAAAATTATAGAAATAAATAAGAAAGGTCTTGAAGATCTAGAAGAAAGATTGTGGCAGCCTGGAAAAATCTGGAGAAGGTTTAGGCAAGATTTTAAAAGGTCTATTGAAGTGTGTGTGTGTGTGTGTGTGTGTGTTTGTTTTAGTGTGTGTGTTTGTTTTAGTGTGTGTGCATGTGTGTGAGAGCATTGAAGTGTGTGTGTGTGTGCACTAGTTGAAGTGTGTGTGTGTGTGTGTGTGTGTGAGTTGTGAGTGTGTGTGTGTGTGTGTGTGTGTGTGTGTGTGTGTGTGTGTGTGTGTGTGTGTGTGTGCACTAGTTGAAGTGTGTGTGTGCACTAGTTGAAGTGTGTGTGTGCACTAGTTGAAGTGTGTGTGTGTGTATGTGTGTGTGTGTGTGAGTTGAAGTGTGTGTGTGTGTGTGTGTGTGTGTAAAAAAAAAGAAGAGCATTTCTGTAAGGAAACTGGTTACACATATATGCATTAATAAAACCTTACCCTGAGCTGGAGTGGGTGCAGGTGTTGGGGTGGTGGTGGCAGCTGGAGTGGTGGAAGCTGTGGTTGTAGCTGAGGTAGAACTTCTACTTCCACTTCCACTTCGACCCCCTCCACTGCCAGACCTACTGGACACAATTCAATGGAAAATAATAATCAGACATTTAAATTATATTAAAAGATAACAAAATAACCTGTGAATAAGATTGAACTGAGTGGCTGCAGTCTACACCCTAAGTACGTGTTTAAAATAACAGGTAAATACTTAGCTATCTTCCAGATACCGTTTTGTCCACACAGCGAGGCAGGTGACTGGGATCTGGAGTTATGAAGGTGAAGGACAGTCTATTTTTCACATTTATTCAACTTTTGATCCCAGTTACATGATAGGGCCCTGAAACCTGGGAGTGTGAACTGTAAGCTTGCTGGCTATACAGAGTTGTTCAATCCATACACATGGTTACAGAAAAAAGGCAAATTTCACCAGTAAATTTCAGCTTGATCTTACACCATGTTCACAAAAAGGCTGAATAACCAAGGATAAGACAGCAAACCCTGGCTAGATACTGTACACACAAAGAAATTATAATAAAATGTGGAGTTGGGAGAATCATTGAAGCCTTAGTGACCAGCGAGGAATACAAATAAAAGCGCAATCTATTATGTGAAAATGTAAATCTTTGAAGACTCAAATCTTAAATATTAGTCTCAGCATACACAGTACACACAAAAACATAGACCCACTAAAGGCTGTTCCTATTATCATAGAATCCATACTCAAAGATAATACTATCTAAATTATTCAAAGCAAAGCAAGATATGAGCCGAGTAAAATTAACAAGAACAGATAATTAAATGACTGGGTCAGGACCAGAACTTTTCTAAAATACGTTATTTTGAAGGTAAGACAATTAAATGACTGCATGAATGCAGTATAGCAAGAAAACCTTTTTAACAAAGATAACCTTCGATCCCATGACAAAAAGACCAGTTAAACCAATTACCACATGGATAAATGGAATCAATTAGTTTGCAGACTGTTCACATGGCAAGAAGAGCCCAAGACAAAAACTGTGGAAGCATGTGGAGAATGTAGCCTAGCAAAGATCTTGAAATTAAAACAAATTTAAGTATGCATGTAAAATATATAGTGTACCTACGTATATGTATGTACAAGGTCTGACACAAAAATAATGACTGACCCTATAACTCGGGAACCAGGAATAGGAGAGGAGGGACAAACAGATGGTTATTGAACATGTTCTAGCCTGTCACAGTGTGACAAGGCTCAACTAGATCGCTTCATTCAGTACAAGTGGACGTGTGTCGAAGTACTGTATAGACGTGTTCTTACGCTCGGTCGGAAAATGTCGGACTGCAAAACTGAGGAATGAGTTAACATCAAGTTTCTCGTTAAACTTAAGAAATCCGCGACGGAAACTTTTCAATTATTGACCGAGGCTTACCGTGAAGATTGCATGTCTCATGCAGGAGTTTTTGAATGGCACAAACGATTTTCGCATGGCAGAGAAACCATGAAAGATGATGACCACCCAGGCTGTCCACGCACAGCAGTTACCGATGACAACAATGAAAAAGTGCGAGATGTGATGAAAAAAAAACACGTAGGTTGGGTTCGTGCAATAGCTGAAAAAGTTAATTTAGACAGGGAAAGTGTTCGACGCATTCTCACGTAAGAACTGAACTTGACAAAGGTTTGCGCCAAAATGGTTCCAAAAATGCTGTCAGATGAACAACGTGCCAGCCCACAACACTTTGTCTGTGAAGCAGTTTTTAGCCAATAAAAACATCACTGTGCTTGAGCACCCACCCTATTCGCCAGACCTGGCTCCCTGCATCTTCTACCTCCTCCCAAAGATCAAGTCTGTGCTCAAAGGAACCAAGTTTCTGTCGGTAGAAGAGGTGAAACCAAAAACAACGGAGCTCCTCAACAGCCTTACAGAATATAATCTGCGGAATTGCTTTGAACTGTAGCAGCATCATATGCAGCTGTGTGTCAACTCAGAAGGAACTACTCTGAAGGCAATTATGATTCTCTTAATATGGTAAATAAAGAGTTACAGCATCAATTTCTTTTTTTTGTGTCGGACCTCGTGTGTGTGTGTGTGTGTGTGTGTGTGTGTGTGTGTGTGTGTGTGTTGTATTTATCTGTGCAGAACCATATAAATCTATATCAAAGCACATAAACTTATAAAGCAGTTCTAATATGAACTAACCCTGGGCCAAGAAGTGTGGCTAAACTAGACATTCCACTTCCCAATATTTGCATCAGTTGTTGCTGAGAAATATTGCCAAAGAGATTCTGGATGTCCGAATCCCGGAGATTGGTTATTTCTGATCCCAAAGCTGGATTTGGAGTTGACCCAGTAGACCGTTGTGATCCTGGAGCTGGTGGGTTATTTAGTAGCTCATTCACCTTTCGAGAATGTTCATCATCTTTGTCTGTCTTGGGTTCCTAAAATTATAAGGATCTCAGCAAATAAATTGTACATTATTTATATACATTAATAAATCAGTGTTAACAATACTTGACAATCAGGATTTTATATCTTTGATAATGATAAATCAAGGGATTCCAATCTTTTACAGTATTATTATTTTGTAGTACATGTTAATAATAAAGTGCTGTACTTATTATTAAATTATCATGAGGCGGTTGAGTCTTGAGGTGATTGTATGACACTCACAAGGTACGTCACCAAAAGTGGAGAAGAGGTTAAGTTTTCACTGCAAATTTCACTGACTACAGTATATGTACTGCACACTATTCATATTTTTTTAAGACACTTCTACAGCCTCCTCAGTGACAACTGTTGAATTACCCTCCTGTTCCACCACAGTGGCAGCCCCCGCTTACATGAACTTTCCCCCATACTAACTGGATTTGGGTTGTTTTCTCCCAAGTTGGGGATACATGTGTTTAGTAATGGACCCGACTCTGATTTACAAAGGGATCCAGATTAAGTGAGTCCGGGTTAGAGGGAGTTTACTGTATTCCAGTTATTTCTAAATGTTTCAGTAACCTGAATAAATTTTGTTTACTGAATATTTTGGGGTTACTCATCCAAATTGCTAGATTTTGATCAGACAATTACCAAAATCAAAATCTAAAACATAGCAAACTGATCAAAACAGGTAAGTTGAAAGAAACCAATTGAGAAAATGAATAAAAAAGCAGTGCCCTCATTCTGGAATGAATATTTATATACAGTATTTGTGTGCACGTGTATGAGATTCTTACCCCGGCCTACACTAGTCTCAATCCAAACAATGCAATTTGGCAAAATTGATTATCAAATACAGAATACTTTGAATTATCTCCCCAAGTAAAATACCTGTAATAGCAAAATTTTGTTTCATTCAGAATCACCTTGAACTTTTTAAGTCCTTATTTTTCTGAACTATGGAAGGATTATTGTATATTGTTGTAGAAATTATGATGAATAGTGTGGACTACATGACACTTGTTAAGATATAGGTATAGGTCAAGGAAAAATGCCAAGAAAATAACAAAACCTAAGCAAAGACCCAGACTCAAACTAACAGCCCCACATAAATATAACAATTCACATGTTGATCTCTTACCTGCATCCAAAAGAAGAGACGCCTGAATGGTTCTTTGAATTTAAGAATATAAACCCTTCCTGTGGTACACTGTGACACACGTACAAACTCACAGTCATCAGGGAAGACAATTAAATCCTGAAATACAGAGGGAATTCAAATAAACATTTTGTTTACAATATTCCCTTAAAGCTTGCAGTTTTAAAGCTTGCATCCCTTGGAAACTCACGGATTGCCATGGAAAATAAATCTGAGGCTGAGCACCAGGGATCAAGAGGTGTCAACACTACAGGATGCACCCTACAACGGACGAGTTGTCAGTTCTGAGCAAACATGAGAAATACGCTCTACCAAGTTCGTAGAGTGATACGGTATATATAATTTGTAATAAAAGTTTAAAGTCCTGCTATAATAGTAGAGATAAGTTTATTTCTCTGGAAACAGGGCCACCATTTTCAATGACATCACCAGTTTCCCCGCAGACGATGTTCTACAACAAACTCACCGCTGCAATCAAAGGTAGTAGAAGGATGACCTCTTCAGACAACAAAAGCCACGTTCAGGTAAGTTTTAAGGTGTTTCTTTATGGTCTAAGTCATAGACATTTTGTAAGTGAAGAAATGTGCCATGAAGAGCTGTCATGTATTCTTACCTGGTACTTTTTTTCCCCAGTGCATTTACAGAGTACATCAGAACTAGATGAAGATACGAGTCAATTTACTAGTAATGACATTGTCTGAAATTTCTTTGGAGAATGCATTGGGATGTATTATCATCACTTAAACGAATTAATGGGTAAAATTTTACTTTGACTACCATAATTATTTTGATGTTCAAATTCAAGATAGGCTATATTGGGTAAATTTTAAGTTTTGGTCATCCCTGTACTTAGCAGGGTTGGAAAAAATCATGATTTTTTTTTAAATAAAAAAATCTATTTGATTTAAAGCGGATTTTTTTATTTAAATTGATTTTTTTACTAATTGCATTAAAATAGTATTTTTCAACCAAAGCTTATTCAGGATAATAAACAGAAAATTGGCATTAGATGTACCAATGGCATTTAACACAATATTCTTTTTGTAAAATAAAAGAAAACTGGTAATATATCTTACATTTGAGTGCACAAATCCAAACGTAATAATGAAATTTAACATAAATGATCTTATAGGATTACAGTGTTTCAAAAATTAATAACTTAACTTCAAGTCAACAGAATAATATTCTCATTTTGTAAAAAAAAATAATACTGGTAACAAGTTTATTTTCTTACATTTGTAGGATTATAGTGTATTAAGAATTACCGGTAATAACTTCAAGTCAACACAATATTCTCATTCTGTAAACAACAAAAATAGTTCAAAACATTTAAATTAGCTTAGTTGAACATTGAAATGCTTATGCACTGTGACAAGCTTAGATGCCTTTTCCTGTCCTAGGCGATTTCTTACCTTTGAGTGTACAAATCCATATGTGGAAAAAATTCTCTCAACCCCTGCTGATGATGCAACAGCTGTAAATAATTGCCTAGGAACATCCATTACATTTTCTGTCATATCATTGGCAAAATACTGCCACCAAGCAAGGGGTGAGAGAGATTTTACAAAATTTTTACCAAAATAGACCTCTTTAAATGGTGCACTTCTTCCATGGAAGGACATTAATGTTGAAAGGAAATGTGGAAGAGACTTGCACACATACTGTTCTGCAATGTCTCACTGCTCAGGAGTCAGATGTTTGCCCTGATACCTTGGATCTATCACATAAGTTAGAAAATGGGCAGGTGTCAATGCTACTTTGATTCTTTTTTCAAAATTATCCATATCCTTTTTATCTGTTAAATACACCTCAATATCAGTTTTCAGTTTTACCCAGATTTCTACAGCATCACTTAATAGGGTATGTTCTCTCTGGACACAGTCCAATGCCACAGCAATAGGCTGAGTCTCTCTAAATAGTCTTCTGCAGTTCTTTTTAATGCCTTATCATTAACTTTCCTTTCAATTTTCTTATCAATGTCTTCACTATTTTCTTTTCACACTTTGACAAGGGTCTCCCAGTTCTTTAAATAAGATTCAATAGAATCTGTCACTGTGTTCCATCGTGTGTCTGATGGCATTACTAGCATTGTTCCTCCTGCTCTTCTATACAAAGATCCTAGGATGTGATGATTTCTGAAGTACTTAATGATTTCAGTAATGTGCTCCTTAATGTTCTTGATTTGCAGGTCTTGTGAAAGCAAATTTAACAGGTGTGCAGAGCAACCATATGTTATAATAGATTTATCTTGTCCGAATTCACTTCTCATTTTTGCCATATTAGCAGCATTATCTGTTACACAGCTTCTTACTGTGCATCCAAATGTGTCTTCACACTTTTTTGTAGCACATTCAGCTAATTTCAACAGATATTCAGCTATGTGTCTTGATTCTGTGTCTATAGAGTCAACAAGATAAATACGGTTGTCTGCTGTTAAAAAGAACATACTAAGTGATAAAAATAGAATATCTGAATATGTATAGCCTAGTGCCTACAGCCTGTTTACTCGAGCTTTGCAAAAATTTACAGCCCCTTGCTCCTTATTGACTGATATATAATGCCGGGAGAGGAGAATACTACAGTTCTTCTGAATTTCAATAGTATTTATTATCTTAGTTAACAATATATTTCATGTAAATATATACATTAATAATGAGACCTTATGATATGATCAAAGTTTCGCAAAACTGGAGAGAACAGACTATAGTACAGTACATAATTATGTAAATCCAAATAATGTTATTAGCCTGCTGCATTTCATATACAGACTTTTCAATCATGTAGAATAAAAAGAGAAAACAGATATTAGTAAAAAAATCATTTTGATTTAAATCATGATTTTTTTTACTCTGATTTAAATTATTTGATTTAAATCATACTACTTAGACAAACAGACTTTTTTTTCTGATGGTTTGCGATGTGTTATGAACGATTTTGACCTTAATTTCTATCAGAAATGGCTAGTTTTGAGTTACCTACCCCCCCAACAGTGTATGTTAAGCTAACCTTATAACTTATAATATAACTTATCAAGTTATCATACCTAACCTAACCTAACATATGACCTATATTCTTATGCGATCGAAAAATGTTTTGCGACAGAAATCCCGTAGAGATAATGACTTATTGTTTGAAGTACTTAATCCCAAAGTTAGGATCTTAAGGTACTCCAGATGACCAAAACCAAAATAAAACCAATATTGTTTGGAATGTTTATACTAAGAAATTTGTAGTAGGGGCAGCTAATATCCATTGAATTAGTTAATGTGCTTAGTAATATTCATATACAGTTGTACCCCACTTAACGCGGTCAATAGAACCCAGAGGGTCCCGTGTTAAGTGAAATCCGCATTAAGTGAACAACAGAACATATGGGATTAATTCCAATAGAAACCGGCCCGACCCCCAAACTCCACTTTTTGAAGACACATAACTATGTTGTAGTAAAAATAACATCTTAATTTTATGATGGTACATGCACACAATTAATACTTAAGAGAAATAGAGAAATACAGTCGCCAAGTTAATGTCCATTCAAATAATGGACTCAACTCCCTCCCCCTCTCACACTACACTGCTGGCTCTTCCCTCTGAGAAATTTTTGGGGGAAAACCACTAAATTTTAATAAATAATACCTCAAACTAAAGTTAGGATAATACAATTGACATTGCTGGATTCCTTGTAAGACCAGGAATATTTTGAATATAAATGTCATATATTTTGCACAAAAGATAACATAGTTACCCAGACAACAAATTTTTTCTAAAATTTGTATGTCTAATGCAAAATATATGATGTTTATATTCAAAATGATCATCAAATTGTAAGAATTCCAGCAATGTAAATTATATTCTGACTGGGTAATTTGCATGAATTTTATGAGCTAAAACAAATATCTTCAGTTAATAAAAAAAAAAATAATCTTCAGGACACTATCTGTCAATCAAAGTACCCCACCTTGCCCTCCCCCCTCTTCCAACCGCACGGTCAGTTCCAACCCTCCCCCCACCAATCGTCCCTTCAAGAGATGTGGGGTGAAAAAAATTAATTTTAACATTTTGTATTAAATAATACCTCAGATTAAAGTTAGGATAATACAATTGACATTCATGGATTCCTTGTAAGACCAGGAATATTTTGAATATAAATGTCATATATTTTGCACAAAAGATAACATTCTTACTCAGATTAAACATTTTATCTAAAATTTGTATGTCTAATGCAAAATATATGATGTTTATATTCAAAATGATCATCAAATTATAAGAATTCCAGCAATGTAAATTATATTCTGACCGGGTAATTTGTATGAATTTTATGAGCTAAAACAAATATCTCCAGTTAATAAAAAAAAAAAATATTCTTCACAGGGTAACAGATGGTCGGTCGGTCCCTCCCTCCCCCCCACCCCCCACCAACCGTCCCAAGGAGATGTGTGGGAAAACCAGAATACTTAACTTTTTTGTAATAAATAATACCTCAAACTAAAGTTAGGATAATATAATTGACATTGCTGGATTCCTTGTAAGACCAGGAATATTTTGAATATAAATGTCATATATTTTGCACAAAAGATAACATAGTTACTTAGAGAAAAAATTTTATCTAAAATTTGTATGTCTAATGCAAAATATATGATGTTTATATTCAAAATGATCACCAAATTATAAAAATTCCAGCAATGTAAATTATATTCTGGCCGGGTAATTTGTATGAATTTTATGAGCTAAAACAGGCAGTCAGGCAGGGTGGCGAGTGGGGCAAATCTAAAAATAGCGACTCGAGCCGGACACTCACCGCGTATATGTAGAAAAAATCCGTGTTAAGTGAAAGTTCAGCTCTGGCGAGGCACCGCGTATATGATAAAACGCGTTAAGTGAAACCGCATTAGGCGGGGTAATACTGTACATATTCAATATAACATTACTGTGCTGCACAGTAAAGCACAACTAATTACCTAATAATATTTATTTACAGAGCCGATCAGCCGAGAAGGTTGGACAACTACTTCCAGGGTTCATCAAGGCAGAGGAAAGAAATTTACCAAAAGTAGGTGTCTTTATGATTGTAGAGTATTATCAAGAACTTCGCCATCCAGCTATTATAGCACATTAAATTACATCTGCCATCTGATCATCCCCTGGCCATGGTCATCCCAAGTCCTTCCACAACATTAGATATAGACCTCAGTGACGAAAACTTACATTTCCCAGGCATGAAATAGAGAACAGTGATGAAAACTTCCATGTTGGAGTTATCGGTCTTTTGCATCATTTTGACACTCAGCAAGTAAATACACACGGTGTTACTTGAGCAGTCATTTATTTTAACCTAAAAATAAGGTATGCCTGTTTATATCAACATTGTATATGGCCACAAATCCTGTACAGTATTTCTGCTGGTAACACATCACACACCACAGCTGGCTACCTCCAGACTCCTGTTCATGCCAACCAGTGACGTCACAACCAATCACAGAGCTTTTCACAGTCACGTGACTTTTTAGTTACTTTAGCCCGTATTTTGTACACTTTTTGGCCTAATATATTTTTAAATATCATCACCATAGTGAATTTAAGCATTTTCTTTACCCACTGACCGGCCATCTTACGAAAAAATTCCGACCGACAACTCGTCCATTGGCAAGGTATATTTTGGAAAAAATTTCTGCATATTTAATAGCCTACTGTACTGGCAAAGCTAAATCACTGGCTATATAATATCATGACTTTATTGACCTATTACCATACATTTGCTGGTATTATCAATAAAATTTACCTAATGTACGTAATACAAAAGGATATAATTATAAGTACAATATAGGTACCTCAGTATACACATTACAAATCCTTATCGGTACCGGGCATGTTCACTAGGAACTGTCCAGTACAGGAATTGTTTACATCCTGTGCACCAGATCCGTTGGCATTTCAGAGGTATTGTCTTTGCATTGTCACTATCCACAACTAACTATCAGTGCGTGAACCTAGTGTGTTATACATGTGCATATAGCTACAGTAAAGCCTCAAATAATGACGGTAATGTGTCCTCCAATATTGCAGTGTAAGGTCAATCAACGTATCGCGAATCATTAATTACCATTAAAATAAAGCAATAATAATGAGACGCATTCCCAAGTGTGATCTTTTCATATCTTTTGAGTGGCTTTTTACCCTCTTTTCCCCCCCAAAAACAATACAATTAATGAAAATTGCAAAGTATATTCTTTAAATAATGTTTCTGAATGACCTTATAAAATATAAATGAATAATAGTATGGTCACACAAGAGGAGATGGGACGCCATTGTTTTTGTTTGTGTTTACAGCCGGGAGTCCGGGACAATAGTTCTACACGAGAAAATTAAGAAAATAAATCCCTGGTTGTAGCTGTAGTAAAATTAATGTAAAAAAATTAATATATATGTTTTAAGTAATGTTATTTAATGTTAATAAATGGAACAATAGAAGTAGCTAACCACTAATGGTAAATATAAAATAAGAGATGGATTGGGAACTACCCCAAAAAATACGTGCGCATTTAAGGATACCGCGTCATTTATCTTTTTAAGAATACAGTATGTACAAATGATTCATTACAGGTTTATTACTGAATATGTATTTGATTGAATTAATCTTTATATATGTGAAATGAACAATACAATTCATTAATAATACGTAGAATATTAAAACACACAAGAGGATAAGAGATGGCATTGTTGTCAGTGTTTACACCCATAATGTCAGTTATCCACCTGAAACTAAAGAAAATAAGACCCTGGTTGTTGTTGTAGTAAAATTAATGTAAAAAATATGTATATTTTAATTAATGTACAGCAAAAGTAACCACTGATATTAAAGAAAAAAATGAGACTGATAGTGGAACGTCAATGTACGTCAATGTACGTCAATGTACAGCTAGACCCCGACTTACGACCGTCGGGACTTACAACCGCCGCAGTTGTGACCATTTTTTTTTTCAAATGACGCACGCATTTTCAATACCGAAACGTTTCCAGTTAATGTAGTCTCCATGTATAATTAGAAAATTATGGGGGCCCCATGTGCATTCAGCTGACTACATTAAAGGTAAATGCTCAGTCACACTGTATCCATTCCTCATTATTTATTACTTTCACTGTACTGTATCCATTCCTCATTATTTATTACTTTTACTGTACTGTATTTCATTGTAGATTTTTTATTAAAAAAATTTTTATTTTTTTTTTTATCGATGTCGGACTTACGACCATTCGGACTTACGACTTGGATTTGGGTCCCTAACCCCGTCGTAAGTCGGGGTCTAGCTGTATACGTGAGCACTCAAGGAAACATAGTCAATTATCTTAATAATATGTACAAAAGATTCATTATTGTTTATTACTGAATATGCATTTGATTGAATTAATGTTTATATATGTGAAATGAACAATGCAATTCATTAATAATACGTAGAATATCAAAACACACACGAGGAGACAAGACGGCATTGTTTTCGTGAGTGACAATGGTTCTACATATGAAACTGAAGAAAATAAGACCCTGGCTGTAGCTGTAGTGAACTTATTTAAAAAAAATTGAATAACTGTATGTATGTTTTAAGTAATGTTATTTAATGTTAATAAATGGAACACTAGAAGTAGCTAACCACTAATGGTAAAGAAATAAGGCGAGACGATTGGGAACGCCAACGTATGAACAGTAAGTGCGTACGTGAAAACATATCGTCATTTCTCTACATATGAATATGAAAGCAACACTTATTTACTGTTCATATATGTTTTAAATATTTATGAATGTAAAACAAAAATTCTACTCACCAATGGTGGTAAAGTCTAAAACATAAGGACAGCCAATGAATACTGTGCTAGTTTTTACTCAGATGACGAAGTCATCAGGTTCAACTCAGACTGAAGCTGTAGCTTTCCATAAAGCTGTTGCTTAAACTGTTACTGAACCTGAAGTTGATGTTGAAGCTGCTTATGATGCTGAATTTGACAGTGTAGCTAAAGCTGATGTTTAGGCCTTCGAATAATAACGCTGTCGAAAGAACCTTGCACAGCCACTTTCTTTTCTCATTATACATCTTTATGTAGAAGTCATTTGCATTTATTTAAATTTTAATACTTTGTTCTGTTACTGGATCCACTTCAGAAAATATGTTCATTGCTTGCTCCATATAATTTCCACAGACCTCTCACCCCTTTCATATCGTTCTAACACATCTAGTTTCTCGGCTAAGCTTATACACTTTCTATTAGCTTTTGAAACAACACTACCATCACTTGCTCATGTTGAATAGGGATGCAAAAATGCTGTAAGACGCCTGAGAAAGTTTTTCTCCTGATCCTGCTTAGATGCGTGAAAACAAAGGGACTGCCAAGCTCCGACTGTTGTTTACTGGCAATGAGCATTACCACTCATTAGCCAGGAACTTCTTTGCACAAGGCGCTCTTCATTTTTTTATAATACATATCGGGATTTAGTTATTATTTATATGACAATGTAATTTTATTGTATTTTTATTATATATAGGTCGTAAATACAAATGAAATAAGGAAATAAATTGAATCGGGTCCTAAATTAACTAGGGTCTTAAATATGAAAAGTTGTTGGTCGAACCGTTGTTATCGGAGGCTTTACTGTATTTATGTATGTATTTTTCACATTCCTGGGACTGGCATGAAAAACTCGCAGATTTTGCTTTCTCACGGGGTCCATTTTACCTAACCCCAGCGAGCTTTAAGGGAATACTGTACTCTGGTTATGAAGTCATTTCCATCTGCCTCCCTCTGCTGAAGGTACAGTTATCTTTTGAAAAAGGTGAGAAGCAAATTTCTATGGACGTAGTGTAGTTTGCCTATCCATTTTTTCATAAGAGAATAATCAAGATTGAAATATTAGCTATGAGTAAGCTTACAGAATCCACCCAAAACAGTCCATTATGTAGTGCCAAAAGATAAAAAGAAACAAAATATAATTATTGTGTTCAATGAAGTACTGATATTTTTCTGATGCATGCCATTGATGTTAGTAAGTATGGTACATATCAAAAATCAAATTTTTCTACCTTACAGCCCACATCATTGAGTATTTCTTACCTCTTCAACAGTTCCAGTGGTACGGTCCTTCCAACAGAAGTGCATGAGGGAATCATCTGCCTGGTACAAATACACAAGACCCTTCCTTTTGTCTGGATGAACCATTTGTTGCCTCATGTACATCTTGCCAGCCTGTAACAAAATTCTTATTTAGATCTTTTTGTTGCAATGCATAAATGTTTTTGTAAATTATAAAGAATTCTGAAAGGCCACATTTGATATGAAAAAAAAAATATTTTAAATAAAAGCTTTTAATATAAATAAAGAGTAAGCATAGACAATGAAGAGTGGCCTTTCTATCCCAACATTTGGTCTCAGACATCTCTCATTCAAAAGTAAGTTTCACACAAAACAGCTCTGCATTATATATACAGTCAACCCTCGCTTTACGCGGTCCCACTTTACGCGTTTCCACGTTTACGCGGTACCCTGCCGAACAAGGAATGCTCACTTTCCGCGGTGTGTGTACCCTTTTACGCGGAGAGCGGCGCGAGCAGGGTGCGCACAAGGTCGCCCAGTCAACAAAACATTACCGAGTTCTTCACCCGCTACCCACCACAGCCGGCCCAAGTCAGTGATAGTGATAATGATAGTGAGGATATGGACTTGTATGGACTTTGAGGGGTTTGACAAAGAGGCCCTGCAAGCCTCTGTGGTTGATAGTGATACAATTGATACAGGTGAGGGCCAATAATCTGCCCTCTGCTTCGGAACCAACCCCCCCATCCCTGTGTGCCCAGCCATCTTTTCTACTAATGTAAGTGTTAAAAAACCTAATATTATTGATATTTCTCTTAATTATTAATTGTGTGTGCATACCATCATAAAATTAAGAAGTTATTTTTACTACAACGTAGGTATTGTGTCTGAAAAAGTGGAGTTTGGGGGTCGGCCCGGTCTCTATTTCAATTAATCCCATATGTTATGTTGTTCACTTTACGCGGGCCGCCGTGGGTTCAATTGACCGCGTAAAGTGAGGGTTCACTGTATATATATATATATATATATATATATATATACAGTATTACCCCGCCTAACGCGGTTTCACTTAACGCGTTTTATCATATACGCGGTGCCTTGCCAGAGCTGAACTTTCACTTAACGCGGATTTTTTCCACATATACGCGGTGAGTGTCCGGCTCGAGACGCTATTTTTAGATTTGCCCCACCCGCCACCCTGCCTGTTTTAGCTCATAAAATTCATACAAATTACCCGGCCAGAATATAATTTACATTGCTGGAATTCTTATAATTTGGTGATCATTTTGAATATAAACATCATATATTTTGCATTAGACATACAAATTTTAGATAAAAATTTTTCTCAGAGTAACTATGTTATCTTTTGTGCAAAATATATGACATTTATATTGAAAATACTCCTGGTCTTACAAGGAATCCAGCAATGTCAATTATATTATCCTAACTTTAGTTTGAGGTATTATTTATTAAAATTTAGTGGTTATCCCACACATCTCCTTGGGACGGTTGGTGGGGGGTGGGGGGGAGGGAGGGACCGACCGACCATCTGTTACCCCGTGAAGAATTTTTTTTTTTTTTATTAACTGAAGATATTTGTTTTAGCTCATAAAATTCATACAAATTACCCGGTCTGAATATAATTTACATTGCTGGAATTCTTATAATTTGATGATCATTTTGAATATAAACATCATATATTTTGCATTAGACATACAAATTTTAGATAAAATTTTTTCTCAAATTAACTATGTTATCTTTTGTGCAAAATATATGACATTTATATTCAAAATATTCCTGGTCTTACAAGGAATCCAGCAATGTCAATTATATTATCCTAACTTTAATCTGAGGTATTATTTAATACTAAATGTTAAAAACCTGGAAGGGAGGATTGGTGGGGGGTGGGGGGGAGGGTTGGGACTGACCGCGCGGTTGGAAGAGGGGGGGAGGCAAGGTGGGGTACTTTGATTGACAGATAGTGTCGTGAAGATTTTTTTTTTTTATTAACTGAAGATATTTGTTTTAGCTCATAAAATTCATACAAATTACCCGGTCAGAATATAATTTACATTGCTGGAATTCTTATAATTTGGTGATCATTTTGAATATAAACATCATATATTTTGCATTAAACATACAAATTTTAGATAAAAATTTTTCTCTAGGTAACTATGTTATCTTTTGTGCAAAATATATGACATTTATATTCAAAATATTCCTGGTCTTACAAGGAATCCAGCAATGTCAATTGTATTATCCTAACTTTAGTTTGAGGTATTATTTATTAAAATTTAGTGGTTTTCCCCCAAAAATTTCTCTGAGAGGGAAGAGCCGGCAGTGTAGTGTGAGAGGGGGAGGGAGTTGAGTCCATTATTTGAATGGACATTAACTTGGCGACTGTATTTCTCTATTTCTCTTAAGTATTAATTGTGTGCATGTACCATCATAAAATTAAGATGTTATTTTTACTACAACATAGGTATGTGCCTTCAAAAAGTGGAGTTTGGGGGTCGGGCCGGTTTCTATTGGAATTAATCCCATATGTTCTGTTGTTCACTTAACGCGGATTTCACTTAACGCGGGACCCTCTGGGTTCAATTGACCGCGTTAAGTGGGGTACAACTGTATATTGTTCCTCTATATTCTTTCGTGGCACCTCAGTGACGAGACAAATAAGGGGAAAATTTTTTTTACGTCGAGCGCTCACTGTCACTACGCACTTAGGGGTCATTTCCTGCTTGCCTCTGTGTCCGAGATGGCCAATAATGCATATATTTACTGATCATAATACTTACCTCCTATAAATATTTAATTTAAAATTTATTTTATTTTCATTACTCTTCAAAAGAAGTGCTCAGCAACACACACACGCAATATGTCGTCAGGCTTTATGTTTGGGAGAGCACGTAGGTCATAAAAATAATTATTGGAATAATAATTCCACAAATAAATACATTTATAACAATCATAGCATTATCATCTTGTAATACTAAACTAAAACCACACCTTTTAGTAATATTCCTTTGATACAGCATGATAAAATGGGACATACAATGAAAATAAACAAACAAAAGAAATCATTTACCAATAAGCTTCCTTCTGACCACGAGTAAGAGAGATGGTGGTAGTGTTGTGTGAAGGGAAAGAGGGAAGGATATAAGAGGGCTATTTTTAGCTTGTCTTTGTGTCCGAGATGGCCAATAATGCATATATTTACTGTTCATAATACTTATCTCCTATAAATAATTAATTTAGAATTAATTTTTCTGCATTATTTTTCATAAAAAGTGCTTGGCGACACACAACAGTCTGTTGCCACTTGCCTGTCTATCTTTGTGTTTGGTATAGCAAGTAATACACAAAATAATAATAATTCCACAAATAAATACATTTATAACATAATCATAGCATTATTTTACAGTAATACTACACTACTTTTAGCAATATTACTTTGATACAAATCGATAAAATAGACAAACAATGAAAATGAAACGAACAAAAGTAGGCAATTATGTTCAGGAAACTTCCCTGTGGCCGAACATGTGGCGACAGGCAAATAGTCACACTGGAACCTGATAACCCGCGCTGGGCATTTAAACAGTGGCAGGAAAAGGCACGCGTTCTGGAACGTCACCTGGGGCCTAAGGGTTTAAGTCTCTACCAATCTTTGGAGGTCCATCACCACTCTTATTATGCCTTATCACATCACTTCAAGCTGCTCCTCAGCACAAGAGGAACTATCACTGGAGTGTTTATGCACAATTGCATAACACAGGAAGTCGGAAATAACGAAAAAATATGAAGTCAGAGACACATGGTAAGTGTAAACAAGAACAAAGATAGCGGGAATAAGTTAGAGGCAGCGCGCAAAGCCCTCTTGTGTCAAGAATTTGCATCATGCCACCACCCGCCAAATTTAAAACAGTTCTGCCACTCCTCTCCCAATTGTTGGATCTCCGGGGTATCAACAAAACTTACGGGGTATTTCCTTTTATGTAATCATCGGTTATGCAAAGTGGCAGTTATTGGGGCATCAGTTTTAGGGGTATACCTATAAAAAAAATAATATGAAAATGCACATAACCTAATAGAACTTGACCTGACCAACCAAAGAACCCTACCTAACTTCCTAGCCGAGGGCCAGACCCTCACCATATTGAACAAAAAGTACTGTACTGTACTTACTTTCATATCTGGTACCAACAAAAACAACTTTCTTGAAGTAACTTGGTGTAATTTTAAATTTTTTGTGGACATGAGAGTATGCTCAGACCAAGTGGGTCAGTCCGCGCATAAACTAACAAAGAGCAGATGACTAAATGTGCCGACACAACGGGTTTTTTGGCTGAATTTTAAAATAAAAAATTAATTTCTTCATGTACAAAGCAAGTGGAGACACCATTTTAGTGTCATATGATCAGTTTTTCTTTTTTTTACTGCACAATATCTCTCACCCTTCATACCCTTCCCACTACTGGTGATTTATGATTGTAGGGTATTATTTTACTTTAGGACATAGCACGCCCAAAAGTTATAAACAACTGAAACATTTAAATCTCCCTATTCTGAGCATTTTGAACCCCATATACAGTGGGGTATGCTATAACGAATCTAATTGGTTCTAGAACCTTGTTCGTTATAGCATTCGTTCGTTATAGGATTAATCCGTTCCAGGCCCCCAAATACAACCACTTAACACTGAAAAATAAAATATAAAATTGTAAAAATTGTAAAAAAGTGCATATATATGCATCTAAACCCCTGAAATAAAGAATATCATTAATATTTGTAATAAAAAAAAACAATAAATTAGTAAAAAAAAAAAAAAAAAAATTTTTTTAAATAATGTTTGTTGTAGGAGTTTCGTTCGTTATAGCATTCTCAATTTTATGGGTAAAACCGTTCGTTATAGGAATATTCGTAGTAGGATCCGTTCGTTATAGCATACCCCACTGTACTGTATACAGTACATGGCGGAAATGGATAATAGTGACACAATTGAATTTAATTGATTTTACGTAGTTTTCAGTCTTTGAGGAGATTTAGCGGCGCATCACACATGCACAATAAACTGACGTCATCCAGTCGTGATCAATGATGTATCGATATCATCATGCAAATTTTTTTCGACCAATCACATTTGGTTTTTT